GCTATTTTAGCCAAATTCCTAATTCTATATCTTAAGAGTGGTTATCTTAAGTGTGAGTTTTAGGTTCTAGATATTTGATTAAGTGTGTCATATCTTAATTAAATACTAGAATTCAACCCCAAGTTAATCTAGAGGTGAGCTTATCCTTTAGTATTAATTTGGCTCCAAATTAAGATAAGAGTGTGTTTATCTCTTATTCCTTATTTGGAATTTATCCCATCCTTTCTAAAACCATCCTTCATCCCTGATTTTCCACTCTTCTTTATAATATCAAAACCCAAAAAGAACTCCTTCACATTCCCATATTTTCATCCAGCCCATTTCCCCTTCATTATTCCACAATTCCATCTCCAAAAATAACAACTTGATAAGACCCTCGGTTCACCCCTAACAGAGATACACGACACTGGGAGAGAAAACTAACCCTTTACTCGGAAGGTTTACTACCCAAAAAACTACGACTGTCAAATGGCGCCGTTGCCGGGGAGTGGCACGACATTAGTTTTATTTCTTCTGATTAGCTTGGGTGAAGATTGGTTAGAACGATCTTCTCACATCTTTTTAACCAACCACCCGTAATAATTATTATGGATAACTCCAGTGGTTATTATGGTCCGCCTTCTTTCTACCAATCACCCAACTGCCCTCCGTACCATCTACCTTACCACCCACATCAAAACCCAAATGATGATGACTACCAAGTCAACAATGGGTCTGACTACTATCCCTACCATGAGGAACCACCATATGATATCCCATCTAGAAACTTTGGATATTCTCCATACCAAGATTCTGATGGAGATAATTATTATGAACCTCATGGTGACCAAGATGACTATTACCAATCTGGGCCTATGTGCGACGATCAATCTAATCCACTCGTCAAAGAGATCATAAGATTAGAATAGAAAATCTTCTATTTCGATGAAGTTTTATTCGCTGAAGGCTCCTGGTACAAACCACCTTACTCCCGTGACTACACTCTGTTTGCTGAAGAACAAATCGAAGCAAACAAGGTGGCAATTCGAGAAAGAGAAAAACTTCTTGAATCAGTACGGAAGGAAAGGGAGTTTGAAAGGAGATTATGCGAAGAATCAGAAAGGATGCAGAAAATGCTGGACGACTTCCAAAGAGAGAGACTAGAAGCCAAGGCTAAAGCTGATGAGTTAGTCAATGATCTCTGTAAGGCAATTGAGCTTAAACGCTCCCTCTAATCTCAAGATCAAATAAGGGAGGTTAATGCTCAAAAAGGGGCTTTAGAACCTAATACCAAATCTGAAACTTTCAACCATCAGGTTCTGGTTCTAGAAGATTCACCGAGTTCTACACCATCACAGAAACCCAAGAGCATAAAAACTCTCGCTAGGGCTACTGTGGTGATGTTACCTAAATCCCTGCCTAGCCAAGTCCCAACCAGCATAGTCGTACAGAAGGTGGAACAAACTCAAGGACCTGACTCAAAACCACCTATGCTTATTCAAGGACAGAAGGAGGAGGAAGTTTTGCCTATGGCAATAAGCGACCATCTCCTTAATTGTGTTGAAGACACACCTCGAGAGGAACCTGTTCTGGAGGAGATAGAGCCCATTACCTACCCCCAAGATTCCAACGTTCAAGAGTCTGAGGAGGAATCTATAGACGAAGAAATACCTAGCACAAAGGAACCAATAACGTCTATAGATAATCATGCTTTATCAGAAGACTTAGACCAAACTTTCTTTGACTCCCTACTTGACGGGTGTGACTTTGTCTGCCCGAAGGATAGTTGGAGCGAAAAGAGTTGGGATGAACTTCTGGTAAGTGACGATGAGGACTCTGCCATGGGGGAAAGCAAGATCATAGTCATTGAACGACAAATGGATAGTCAGCCGATTGAAGATAAGGAAGAAATCAATTTCGCAATCAAGGCTAATGATGTGGATCTGTTGAGGAGACTTCCGCCACCACCCACCTATCTAAAGTTTCCTCCGTATATCCTGTTGTCACCAAGCCGCAGGGACGAGTCAAGGATCCTGGACCTTGACCAAGCGAGAATTCAAACAAGGTGGCATCAGAAGAGAGTCAAAAGGGCCAAACTTTATGACTCTCGGATCGGAAAGTCATGGAAAAAGTGGCTAAGGCGTCAAGCTACGGACGTTAAAGAAGCGCTTAACGGGAGGCAACCCGTCATTCATTAAATTATTTAAATAAGTTTTTGAGGTTATGCTTGTCGCACCAGTTTTGGGGGCAAGAGTTATTTTGTTTGTTTTCTTTGATTTTCCAAATGAGAGACCCGTAGGGAATACCTTACAGAGGAAGCAAAGAAGAGGTCCAGCACGTGGTGAAAACAAAGAGTTTCTGCCATCTTCGATGCTCATTGATCGAGCAGTCCTGGTTGAAGTCAGCTACTGAGAGGATATTGACTTCCTCAGTAAAGTCTCTTTTTTCTCTACTATTTTGAACATGATTTGGATGCTTGATTGATTTTTATTTTGGAATTTCACAACATGACTCTTAAAACCATTTTGAGAAACTTTTATGCATTATTTCATATTTACATGTTATGGTTATCTATTATTTCAATCTTCATTGTTGAATCGTGTAAGTATTGAGATAACTTAGTAATTGCACGTGAGCATTTCAACCATTAACTCCAATTCTGAAACACTTTTAACCACGAGGGCGTGGTTCTATTTAAGTTTGAGGAGGTAAGAGTTCCAGGTTGAAATGATCTTTTTAGGAATTTTTTTTGTCTATATATTTGTAGGAAAAGATTTTTATAGAATAGCCATCAATTTTAATTGTTTGATTAATTAATCTTTAGTTATCACCCTTAAAAATTAGAAATTTTTACAACTTTTTGTCAAACTTCTATTTTTACTCTAACCTTTTGGGAATGTTTTTTTTAAAATGATTTGGGATAAATTCACAATTTACTAAGAGTTTTTAAGATCAATCAATTTTTTAATTGCTTTATTGAAAATCTTTTTGCAAATACTCACCTATCTTTAGGGCTATGAGTATTTGTTGTTTCTAAAAAAGAGTTATTTTCAAAGTATAAGGGGTGATGTTTCAAAGTATGCTTTGGTGAGACCGAGATTCTTGTTTTAGCCAAAAAGCAATTGGTTCTATGTCAATTGATGAGGCTTGGTGAGTATGCCAAAAAGCATGTGGTTCTATATTGCATGATGAGGCGTTTTAAGTGTTAGAGTCAAAAAGCATGCGGTTCTATGTCGTGTGATGAGACTTTCCGGAGTGAATATCCAAAAAGCTCGTGGTTCTATGTCACGGGATGAGGTTATAAATTTTTCTCGTGTCGACATGACAAAGTTATGCCAAAGAAAATTAAACCCTTACACTTTGACAAATACTTTTGCAAGAACATGTTTTCCAATTTAGCCATTACAAGATTATTTGATCTTTAAGGTACTCTTACAAATGTAGTTATCCCAAAGAAAGTTTGGAAAATTTTGGTTGTTTAGGTTGGTGTAAAAATATTGGTTTGACAAAATTCTTTTACATTCCTAACAATATGGATGAGAATCTAAAGGTTCATTTCTTCTTAACAAAAAGGTTGATGACTATCTTATTTCTTCTTTCCTTCATAATATATAGCTTAAACCTTCCCTCTGCAATTATTAATTTGCCTTTATACTTGTAATTATTCAATTTGTTGCTTGAGGGCAAGCAACGTTTAAGTGTGAGGAATTAGATAAGTCCGTTTCGCTCTTATCTTTTACATCATATTCTAAACATTCTTGCACGTAAATAGTATTTAATCATCTCATAAAATGTGTTTTCAATGAATAAAACACTCATTTTCGTTCTAAGAGTCATAAAAATGGATTCCACATGAAATCATCATAAATCATCCATTTTATGTTGAAATACTTGAGAAAAAGGGAATCCATCATCAAAGGATCAAGATTCGGGCATGAACGAGCTTCCGGGAGGTCAAAAATAGTGTTCGGGGCCAAAACAGAGCGAAATTGGGCCGAAATCACGAACCAGCTGCGAAGCCCAACAAATGAAGGGCCTAAGGCGTCCAACTTGGACGCGTGGCCAAGTTGGACGCTTGGGAGTTGGATGCTTCAGCTTAATTGCAGCCCAAAAATGACACGTGGCAAAACCTGGTTGGTCGGGACAGCTCAGGCGTCGAGATCTGGACGCTTGGACTTGGACGCTTTGACTTGGACGCCTTGGCTCCGTTCCTATAAATACAGCGCGATCCCTCTCATTTTAATCATCCCATTCCATCCCAACTTCGGGATTTACACATCCCCTCTCCATTTTAGCTTGTATATTACTTGTAGTACTTAGTTTGAAGTATTTTCGGAGGTTTTGACTCCAGATCTATTCTGTTCTGCTTTTACGGAAGTTGTAAGTTCTCTTTATTTAATAAAATGGTGTTTTAATTTATGTTTACATAGAATGAGTTAGGGTCCGGATCTCTGGGTCCAGACTAGTTTGGTTGTTTATTTTGAATATTAAATTAATGTTGGAATGGTTAGTCAATTGCTCTTACCTTATTTAGTTAATTAATATCGGAAGATTTAATTAGCTATCCATTGAGAAAATATTGTATGCCTAAGGGCTAAGATATTCAAGTGCAACGGATTAAGTACAAATCTAGAAATGGATGAGTAATCATATAAATATTATTATTCCAAATGTTAATTAAGTATGATAAAATAAATCCAAATGAAGTCCAGACCTTAGGTCCAGATCTTGCTTATACTATGTAAATAAGTTTATTTATTATTTTTACTCTACTCTTTTTATTCGTTCCGAGAAGACCTTCATAAACCTGTCCAAGCATTCGCCTAGTTAGAGTAATTAAACTAATTCCCTTCGTCCACTCCTCGGGAGACACGACACTGGGAGAGAAAACTAACCCTTTACTGGGAAGGTTTACTACCCAAAAAACTACGACTGTCAAGTTTTTACGAGAATACGGATTTTATGGGGTTGAGAAAGTTGGTGGCTTGCAGTTGGACTGGGCTTTGATCACTGCTCTAGTGGAGAGATGGAGACCCGAGACCCATTCATTCCATCTTCCCTTCGGAGAGGTTGGAATTACTTTGCAAGATGTAGAGGCCAGGTTTTGCTTGGATTGCCCATAGATGGCAATCCATTGACGGGGATGACTGGCCGATCCAAAGATCAGTGGATTCAGATTTGTGAGGACATGATGGGATTTAGGCCTCAAACATCCAATATTACTTCTACTATGATTAAGATGTCTGCCATTGTTCCTAAGCAACTAATAGATCATAGTTTAGATGTAGATTACTTGCAGCATGCTAGAGCCATTATGTTTAAGTTGTTGGGTGGTAGCCTATTTCCCAACACGACGGGAAATAAGGTTAGTTTGTATCTTTTAGAGATTATCATGGGTGACGTAAACATTGTGCGAGGTCATGCGATTGGTTCGGGAGTTCTCAGTTACTTGTACCGTAGTATGTGTCGTGCTAGTGCGACAAGTGCAGCACAGATTGGAGGTTGTGTAGTCTTATTATAGCTTTGGGCTTGGGAGCGTCTGTAACACCTGCCTTCCGTGGACCCGGTTCACCCGTGACCCAATAGACCGGTAGGGTTACATGGGTGGTCCGAGAACCGTCCGTAACGTAAAAACATTAATGACTATTTATTGTGAAAATGGTTACGTTTAATTGGTAAAATAAATGCTAGGGAGTTACCCCCAAAACGTGTGTGATATAAATGCAGAGTAAAAGCGGAAGTAAATAAATAAGTCCAAAATAAGTAAAACGACATATGGTGGGTTCATGCCCAAATGATTAATTAATTCAAATGATTATAATTAATAAACTCGTCCGTGCGCCGCCCATCTTCCCATCATCACTGTCCTCCAGGGTTGGCACCTGTACCGTCATGTCTACCTGCGTCTAGCAAAAACAACTACACGCTCAGCAAAAGCTGAGGAGTGAATCTAATAAAAGAACATGAAGTGATAACCCATATGATTATACACATATTAATACCTATACTTTAACGTATGGAAAATCACATGTTTACTAACTGATTAATTTACACTTGATGGGATATTATTACACATAACAAAATGAATAACAACCACATTGAATGTTGATGTGACGTGGAACATACATGATGATGACGACCACATTGAATGTTTACATGACATGGAACCCACATGATGATGATATGACTTGATGCATGACTTAAACTATCGAGGACATGTTAAAATAAGTGCCCTTCACTAGAGGGGGGGTGAATAGTGAGGCACGAGAATGTTTATAAATTTTCGCGGAATAAAAATCGCAGGGATAAAGTAAAGAGCAGAATAAAAAGGAGTAAAGGGAGCACACCAAGATTTACCCTGGTTCACCACAACTTGTGGCTAATCTAGCCTCCCGAGAGACTCTCTCGAGCTACACTACTTCCGTTAAGCTTACGGGTGCTTAACAAACCGTTACAACCTGAGAACTCGAGTCCCACGAGCCTCAATACACTTGCTCGGAGATACCGCACTCCAAGACTTCAACCCGAAGGAAAATACCTTTCCTTCGTACAACCAAGGGAAACAAGCTTCCCTTAACGTGTATACAACACTAAGACACTCAAGAACAAGACTCTCTTTAAGAGTAGATGTTGAGTAAACTATATACGCTCAAGAACAACTCAAACTTCAAAAATTGGCTCTAGAAAGCTATGGAAAATAATGTTGTTTGGATGCAATGATAATATGAATAAAGTGAAGTGAATTTTTTTTGGAAAAGCAGACCCAAACACCCCTTTTTATAGTGCCAAAATAGGCTCCAACGGAGCAATACATTAAAGGGGTGATTGGCTTGATTTATGGGATTGAATAAATTTGGGATCTGCAGGATATTGGCTTCCCATCGATGTTTGGAACCTACCCATCGCTGGTAAGCCAATTTTCCTTGAGTTTTGAAGCCAACGGTTACCTACCCATCGATGGGTAAATGCTTCCCATCGCTGGGTGGGAGGTTGACTTTCAAATAAGGAAAGAATCAGCCTTAAATGACTCCCAACGGTCATGCCTTCCCATCGATGGTTAAGCCTTCCCATCGCTGGGTTTCCATCGATGGGTAAAGCTTCCCATCGCTGGGTAAGGGCATTCTGCCTTGTGGTAATGTTGCACCAAGGCTTTAATAGCGATGGGTAGAATTTCCCATCGCTATTTGGCATGGTTCTGGAACTTGGTTTGGCTAAGGGACTGCTTACCCATCGATGGGAAGATCTTCCCATCGCTGGGTCGCATGATTCTGGAATCTCGGGATCACTTACCCATGCATGGGTAAACTCTACCATCGCTGGGTAGATGGCTAGCCCAGAACCATGGCCTAGCCGACCGGTGCTCAAACCCGACCGAAAAATGCAAAGTTCTCCAAAGTAAAAACTAAGTATTGAAAACACTTATTTAATGTATTGTGATGTCAAAACAAGCTTTGTAAGTTGAAAACCACGTCGTTAAGGTAAAAACCACAATTGACCAAGTCAACACCGTACACGGGTGGTTTTCACCAAAAGACAAAACCGAAATGTGGTTTTCATGATATTTTGATTGGAGAACCATTTAAATGCATTCAAAAACAATTCCCACAAAAAAAAGACTCGAAAACCACGGCTAGCCAAGTTTATGCCATTTCGCGTGGTTTTTATCAAACGACAAAAAACGAAAGGTGGTTTTTGAAGTGTTTTTGATGGAAAACTATTTAAATGTGCCCAGAAGTAAAAACCAATCATAAAAAGTTGAAAACAACTTGGTTAGTTCGGACGCCAAAAACCGAATGCCGAACGCCGGTTTCGGAAACCCGAACGCCGGATGGCTTGATTTTGGTTTGGGCGAACACCAAGTGTTTTCAATGTTTTAAACATGTCTGAAAAACATTTTTATGATGTGTGAAATGCAATGAAAAGAATTTTAGCCTAAAGAGCCAAGGTGTAAAGGTTGGGTCGGTCTTGATCACAATTATGACCGACTCAACAACACTAAGACTACAGTCTTTGTTCTTGGTCTTCTTTTAGGTCTTGTTCTCTTTCTTTCTTCTTATATTTATTTCTCGCCTTGTATATTCAATAACTTGTCTCGTTCACGGCGGTTTGGCATTATCAAAACCTGTCATAAAAACGAACACGGCTTTAGTACGAAAACACGATAAACCCGTGTTTCAACAATTTCCCCCTTTTTGATAATGGCAAACAAGACGGGGTTATGCATAGGAGGATTGATTTGAGACTTAAAAAATGTTCCCCCTTAATAAATGTGATTTTCTTTTCAACAAAGTTTATGTGTTGAATAAGAGTTAGTTTTAGAAAAAGTTCCCCCTCAATCTATGCATAACCTTTATATCTTCCCCCTTTTGACATTAACAAAAAGAATTAAAAGTAAACTTTTATTCATTAAAAGGGAAATGCAGAATACAACGGGTAAAAATACAATCATATTTAATAAGGAGAAAATAAGGAAGATGTCGTGGCATCGGTGTTGGCCTTCTTCTTTGAAGCCTCGGTTTTGGTCCTT